CACATATTATCATTGCATCCAAATCACATTGTTTTCCATAGCTTTCTAGAGCCAATTTGTGTGAAGTTTGAGTTGTTCTTGAGCGTATATATTTTACTCATATCCACTCTTAAGGAGAGTCTTGTTCTTGAGTGTCTTAGTGTTGTATACACGTTAAGGGAAGCTTGTTTCCCTTGGTTGTACGAAGGAAAGGTATTTTACTTCGGGTTGAAGTCTTGGAGTGCAGTATCTCCGAGCAAGGTTGTTGAGGCTCGTGGGACTCGAGTTCTCAGGTTGTAACGGTTTGTTAAGCACCCATAAGCTTAACGGAAGTAGTGTAGCTCGAGAGAGTCTCTCGGGAGACTGGATTAGCCACACGTTGTGGTGAACCAGTATAAATCTTGGTGTGCTCCCTTTACGCTTTCTACGCTCTTTACTTTTCACTTTCTTAATTTTTTTTATTCCTGCGATTTTTGCGATCAAACGCTATTCACCCCCCCTCTAGCATTGGTCACTTATTCTAACAATTGGTATCAGAGCCTAACTCGCGTCCAAACTTAACCGTTTGAGAGTAAAGCGATCATGGGTTCTTCTTCTAGAAATTTGTACACAGGAATAGGTGAAGGACAATCAACCACACGCCCACCTCTTTTTGATGGAACCAACTATACATATTGGAAAGAACGAATGAGAATCTATATTCGTTCCACGAACTTCCAATTATGGTTGGTTATCAAAAACGGGGAAGAGGTGCCAATGAAGAAAGTTGGAGACAAGTTGATCCCCAAGACCGAAGACGAGTTTGATGCCGAGGACATCAAAAAGGTCGAGAACTATGCAAAGGCAATAAACATGCTTTATTGTGCCGTAAATCCTGATGACTACCGCAAGATCTCCTGCTGCTCAACCGCCAAGGAGATGTGGGATAAGTTAGAGGTGACGTACGAAGGAACGGACTAAGTACGTGAAGCCAAGGTCGACTTCCTCACCCAAGAGTATGAGATGTTTAGGATGAAGGAGCACGAAAAGATCGACGACATGTTCGACCGCTTTTCTAAGATAGTCAACGATCTTCATGCATTAAAGAAGACTTACACCGACAGGGATCTTGTGCAAAAGATCCTACGAAGCTTGACATCCGAATGGCGATCTAAGGCCGATGCCATCTATGAGTCAATCGGCACATCAAATGTCACCATCGACAGTTTAAGAGGTAACTTAAAAACATATGAATCTACTATACTTAATCCGTCTTTGAATGACCAGAGAAAAGGCATAGCATTAAAAGCCTCCAAAGAACCGACAATGAATGACTCAAGCGACGAAGATGAAGTCAAGCTCATCATGAAGAAGTTTTGCAAACTTCTAAAGAAAGAGAAGGCTGAGGATGGCCCTGTGTGCTATGGATGTGGTGAAGCCGGGCAC